TCATCTTTCTTTTCGTCTTTTTCTTTTATAATGTATATGGCATTGACCTGAGGGTCATTTGCAAATTTTCTGAGTTTTTCAAGGGTTTCAGGTAAATCCCATAAAGTCCTTTTTAAATCATCTGCCTCAGCTCCTAAAAGTAAAGGTAAAAGTTTGTGAAGGTAATCTTGCAGTAGTATAGGTTCGAAAACTGGTGGAGCGGTGCCATTTGAATTTTGTTCATTAACAGACGTTAATGCTAATGCTTCGTCTTCCATTCTCTATCTACTATTTAATTTAATAATTCTAACTTTTTAAAATTTTTAATTTTATTTTTTTTATAATTTAATTAGAAAATACATATATAACATATATATATTAAATAAACACCCAATAAATAATTTGTAGGAGTTATTTAAAATTTATTTTTTTAAGCAATTTTTATACAGAATTTTTTTATTTGTCTGATTTATTGTGATTATGTATGATAAAATCTCGACAAAAAAAATTTTTAATATTACCAAAAGAATGGGTCGTTGATCTTTCTTCGTTTAGGTTAATATGAAAAGATAATTTTACCTATTTTGTGCATTTATACATATTTATAACTATTCATATTAAAATTAAACATTTTACATGCATAATTCCAACAAAAACCGCCTTTAACTTCTGGGAATCAACAAAAAAAAACGAAATTCAAAAATAAGGTTAGCAAAGGTTACACAAACTGCATCCTAGCCATCATGTGTTGATAATTTTGTAGAATTAGGTTAAATAAAAAAAAATCGTTTTACCACATGAAAAAATTATGATAATTAAATATTGTTTCAAGAAAACAAAGAATTATCTTGATAATAATCCGCCTTGTAAATATACTGCGGAGTATTAATTACATGCATTACATGTGATAAAAAAAATTTCCCTTGTAAAATTAAAAAGTTATTCAGGTTTAATCCTGAAAATATTAATATTAAGCATGCATGCTTTTCCACTTTTGGACTTGCTAGGGAAAATTTCAAAATGCACATATTATGCGCATACTTAAATTCAAATAACCAAATCAAGCTTAAACATTTATGTCCCTGAATGATAATCGCCAAGTTATTGTGCGGGCTCCCACAAAGTAGTTGTCCCATCTCGATCTCCATTTACCATTACTACCATCAAAGGTAAATACATGTACAAGGAAACTGTGTCAAATTTGTGCATGTCTAGTAGTGATAACTTGGCGAATTCGCAAAAGGTCAGGAAGTTTGGAGAAAAACTAGAAGCACACCAAGGCAAGATTATGTTTTTTGATTTTTAAGCATATATTCTGAAAATCTTTCTTAGACTCGATTGTTTTTCATAAATAAAAAATAAAAATAACAATAATATATCAGTTCGCAAAATCGAATATCTATATGTCAATAATAAATTTCTTTTATTAGAAGGATTTTTTGTACCACACAGAAATTTCAAGCCGATCATCAGCCTTTTAGGAAAACACAAGAGAAGATCATTTCCGAAAGTTTACAATGACACATAAAATGTTTCAACTTTGAAGCCTTATAACTCAAAACTTTTCCAATAAAATAGAAAAAAAAGTAAACAAATGGAAATGAAATTTAGTCCTTAGCTTTAATTCTGTCGGTTTACTTCTTTTCATTTTTTTTTTATAGGGAGTTATAAGCTTTTTAGAGTGATAAATAGATGTCCTGCATATCTGATAAAAATGTCGTGTTACCAATTCAATTTACATATATTAAGAAATACCCAGTTTGTATCTTTATTATATGAGGCATACTGCAACAAAACCTGACAAAGTGAACATTTGTACTACCAAGGATATGATTTAACAATTTATAATGTCCCATTTTTTTTCTTAATATTAATGTTAAATGGGTGTATAAAGTTAGTTCTATATAAAACAATTAATATGAACTCATCTACATCAAGTCTACTATGGAACCCAAGAATTACAGCACTATCAGAAGGAAAAGATTGCACCTTATGTTTTCAAACAAATGATACTTATCTAAGGAAAGAGAAAATTACCTATGAAATTTTATCAAGAAGAATGAAAAATCATAACTCCATGATGAACCTAAAAAGAAAAGAAAATTGGAGAATATAATTTAATACCTAATCATCAATATATGTATATTAATACTACAACAGAAAGAACAGTTGCCACATGGCAACAATTAATATTATTAATTCACTCCTTGATTGTTTTCTTTTTTCTTTCTCTCTAACAGATGAGAAAAAACTCCTATCACCATCGCTATTAAAGTTCCGAACAGTTCGGAGCTTTAAGCTAGAAATTATTTGGCAGTCCCTGGTATTCTAATTTTTGCATCCTGCTTATTTAGAATTAAATTTATTAATTTCTAATCTAATAAACTTATTATAGCGACAAGTGTCCCAGTTGAACGAGTTTTTTTGGAGACACAGGCTTAATTACTCAAAGGCGTTGTAGTTTAGATCCTGAAGCAATAAGAATTTGCATGTGTTTAAAAAATTGGCATTTTATATATGAATTGAGAAAAATGGAACGTCGTTAAGGTTTCTATTCGTTATGAGTTTGAGTATTTGAATTACATTGAAAATTTAGTCAAATAAAACGAATAATATTAATATTAATATTGAATAATTCGAATAAAAATTTGCGTAGATAAAATAAAATAAAAACTAAATCATGGTTTCCATTCTAATATTGGTAAGAAATAGACCTTCGCTATCATGGTATAAAAATCATAGACTATGTATGTATTTAGAAACAGGGTCCTTCCAGCATCTCTATTTCGTAACACACATCCGCCAAAATCAAGCTAAATGTTATTATAATTTTTTTGTCAATTATTATGTATATTTTTGCGTAGTTGGCAAATTTAGGATGTCTGAAATTTTTGGGTCAAATGTAACCCGAAAAAACCGAACCAGGCCGAACCGTTCAGGGCTTTATTTCCAGAGATTTTTTGTTATTGCTTTTTAAATAATTCAGGCTTTTTAGTAGTAGCTTATCCAATTGTTAAACTTCAAGAGAACTGCAATTAAAATGCCGCAAGATTGTGGAGAATCATCTTAAATTCCGCAATGTCCGCAATTAACTACATGTTGAAATTATTCGCAATTCCGCAAATATAAAAAGAGCCACCACGGTTAAGATGGATCCTTTTGGTCAGCTAGAACAAAATGAACATACTAAATACTTTACCTAATGGTTGATTTGTGATCTCCAGCCCTTTACAATTCTTATTTTAGAAAATTTATCAATTACTTCTGTCCTCGTTATACTACTCCAGGAGACATCAGATAAAAGGCCTTGTAATTAATGCATTCAATACCAGAAGAACAAAAATCGTTGACGATCTTGACCAAATTGAGGGTAAAATCGGGAGGAATAACTGTACATTAGACTTGAACTGGCATCTCTGTAATTTCCTCCTTGACATCATCCCTTTTACTTAGGATGGGCAAAATGCGAAATCCTTAGTTTATTGTGCGCATAGTAAATTATTGATAATTTTTAAAAAACATCCACCGTAAAATTATCTTCATGATTTTAGCTTAGATGTAATAAAATATATGTTTATTGTTGTGATTAGAATACAAAATTTTATTATAAAAATTACTAACTTAGTAAGTTACATCAGAATCATAAAAATCATAAAAATCTTCATTTCCTTCTTCATTTTCACTACTACTACTGTTACTAAAACATTCACTTTCATTTTCATTTTGATTTTGCATATCATTTTCTATAAATTCAATATTATCCCCATTCATTGAGTCAGAAGAATTGGATAAAATTTTATTGAAAAATCTTTCCACACTGATGTCTTTTGTGGTGTTGCAATTTATAATTACTATAAATATATACCAATTTTAGGACACAATCTGGTGTTAATCGATTTTGTTTCTTAACGCATTTATTTCATAGTTACAATATTTGCATTGTGCACGAGGTTGCTAAAAGCCTGATACTTGACCAAGTTTATTGAAATGAGTCCAAATAGAATTGGTTGGAGGCATTTAAATTTTTATTTCATTTATTATCTATATCATATTTATATTACTAAAATTCTAATGTCTGTCCCTTTTTTGCGATTTGATTGGTCGCTCTATTCACTATGATTTAATGTGTGTAATGCCCAATTTCATTGTATATAACAAACAAATGTCCAACTTCATGTCAATATTTTCTTAGTATTAGTGTTAATGGGTTTACATTTGACTCCCTGTAGTTTACGCCATGTCCCGCGACTAATAATTTTAATATTAATATTGATAAACCAAATACAGACGGACACAAGGACGTACAAAATTGCTATATAATCTAATATTAAGTTCGGGTTATCAAATTATATTAAATTCGGCTTAACAAGATAATTTTATTAATTATGTTTTTAATTATAAAGCGAAAATCGGTTTATGGTGATTCGGCTTACGTATTTATTATTATCAAGAATAATATAAATACCTAGAGACACTACAAGTTCTGCCCTACGCTTTGATTTCAACAATATACATTTATATAAATAATAAAATATACATATCATTCATTACATTTTTTACAAATAAAAAATTGTGTACCTCTCGCTATTAGATAAATAATTAATGTGTACACGTCGATCAAATAACAACTCTTTGAAAAATGTACAAGGAAAGCAAAATAAAAGAAGAGCAGAAAATATCACCAAGTAAATGTTTTAAGAATGATGGGAGTGGTTATCGCCACTCGTCGTCACTCTAGTTAATCATTAAAAAAAGTAGAACGGAATATTGCTGCCCTGAAGCAGGTAGATATTTCAAAGGTGAAAATGATACAAAAATTCTAAAAGAGAGTGGAATCAAATCACCAAAAATGCTAAAAGACATGTTTGTTTGTCTTGGTAATTCAATAGAGTGGGATGAGAATACTATTAGAAAATAGAAGTCATTGGGTGGGTTCATATTTATATCCAATTGTTAAATCATTTCTTGTCTAATATTATTCTTTCTAACAATATTTAGTCATTTTTCCAGAATTACTAATAATGTTATTGAGGTTGGATAATCCCGCTGGTTATATTTGTCTAATCACTAGGTCTCCATTTTATGTAGTTTATATATTTATATATATTTATTTATACTTGAACTGATTTGATTTTAAAATTTTAATAGATAATGGTTGATAAAAATTACAAAAGAATTGTTGAAATATTAAGACAGATGAAAAATAGTGATATTTCAGAAATTTTAGTGTCTCAACATGAAAAACAAGGATGGATAATCAATGTTGATAAATCGTCATTTATTTTGTTAAAATGAGAATCAATATTTCTTACAAATGTTTAAACAACTTGATTAGTGTATAGAAAATTCTTGTATTTTCAATACAAATTAAGAATTATTGAATAAAAATTCAGATTGAATTAGAGTTCTATTCTTTTTTAAAACATGTACTTTACTATGTTCGCGAGGAGTTTGTCCACTATGATCATTTCTAAATTTAGGAAACTATTACCAAATTTAGTCTAGCTCTTGACTATCGTATCTAAATTTGGCAGTAAGAAAACTAAAATCACGTGAAGTCCTATTTTTTGAAAATTTTTATTGGCCGCATGGCGCAGCAATAGGAGGTCTTTAGACCCAGCCAACCATATATTAACTATAATGGCGAATGAGTTAATATCACCACCATAGTTGTTTGCATCTTTTACGTTTATATTATAAATTCTAAAAGATTTTTCATGTTAATGCAAATTTAAATTTTTCTTATAAATATTAATTAGAATCTTTACATTGCGAGCGTGCAATCCGAGTTTCCTATTTTAATAGGTTATTTATGGTTCAACACACAGCCTCCTCACTGACTTACGGTTGATTATATGGTTTGACACACAGCCTACTTGCTGACTTACAGTCAATTTCCTTTATTTATATATATATGACCCACAGCCTACTTGCTGACTTACGGTCAAAAATTAATTAAAGTATAACTTTTATCTTTTCAGATAAAAAGCTCTTGACTATCGTATCTAAATTTGGCAGTAAGAAAACTAAAATCACGTGAAGTCCTATTTTTTGAAAATTTTTATTGGCCGCATGGCGCAGCAATAGGAGGTCTTTAGACCCAGCCAACCATATATTAACTATAATGGCGAATGAGTTAATATCACCACCATAGTTGTTTGCATCTTTTACGTTTATATTATAAATTCTAAAAGATTTTTCATGTTAATGCAAATTTAAATTTTTCTTATAAATATTAATTAGAATCTTTACATTGCGAGCGTGCAATCCGAGTTTCCTATTTTAATAGGTTATTTATGGTTCAACACACAGCCTCCTCACTGACTTACGGTTGATTCTATGGTTTGACACACAGCCTACTTGCTGACTTACAGTCAATTTCCTTTATTTATATATATATGACACACAGCCTACTTGCTGACTTACGGTCAAAAATTAATTAAAGTATAACTTTTATCTTTTCAGATAAAAGGGTCCCTAGGTTCTATATATGTAATTATATCCCAAAGGCGTCCCCTTGAGATGTCTCTTGATAGTTAAGATACTGGTTAACTGCTATGGGCAGCAAAGGTTTATTAATTAATTAGAGATTATTATTTAGGGTAAAATATGTTATGTGTTTTATTAGCGATAATAATATTATTATTACAGTGTATTAGGAAATATTAATTATTAGATCAATAATTAAAAGATTGTTATGAACATGATTCTGACTTGGTCTAAAACCAAGTCCTTTTATACCTCTTGGGGTATTACAAATAACATGACTTTTACTCTAGTTTGTCCAATAAACTATGCTTATTAATATAAAATAAATATTTGGGTCAACTGATCATTACAAATAATAATTAATAATTTAAAGTAAATATTTACATCAGCTGAACAAATTCTTGAAATATAAATATAGAAATATGAATATGAGTAATTGTGCGTGTGATACTGCGCAATGTGTGGCACAGTATTTCACAAAATATAACGTTAAAAATAAAAATAGAAATGATTTAATTTTCACGTGACTTCCGTAGTAATTTGGTTTGGTTGGATCGGCAACGTGGGACCTCTCTATCGGTCCTCATTTTACTATCTCACAATATCATGATGAGGATGATACTTTGCTCCAGTACCTAGTAACCAGATATTCCACTAATTCTCTTTTGCACCCTCTGAATACCATCTGAGATCTGTGAAACTGATGCACTTGCTAAATAAGAAAATTGACATTGAAAGTGATGAGAGGAGTGGTGAGGACAAGTAATCCTTGCTGTAATGAGTTAGATTCATCATTAAGGTTTGAGCATCTTGAGCTTCTGATGAGGCTTCATTTAAAGAAATACTACTCCTTTTTTACTTCCTCTTCATAAATTATTTATTTTTTAGTATGGGTTTGAGAACTAACATATTTAAAGATGATGGATTTGATGATGATGTTTCTAGTTTAATGTAGGACTACAATATAACAATCATGATTGTTGTGATCTTTTAATTCTGTATCAATAGTATATTTTTTTGATAAGTTAAATAAGTGAGTTAAAATCTGATAAATAAAAGGAAAAACATGTTTATCTCTAGTTCAGGATTTATTCAGCCAATTAATTTATTTTCTTGCAAAAATAATCCAGAAACCTGTCCTATTAAAGCTGTGTTGACTTCAAAGAAAGGTTCATCAAAGCCTTCTATGCCATTAATGAATTGAATGGAATTGGTGCAATACAAATGTGTCCAGAGTCATATTGCCATATTTTTCTTTTAATAATATTTCCAAGGAAGACAAATTATTGTCAACACTTGAGTTGTTAACATTTACAAATTGAAGCTGATTACCATCTGACATTTTAATGAATTTAAATTTTATTCTTAATTAATTATGACAAAAACATATCATTTAATCATGATGTTGACTAGAAATTACTTGAAAATAATTCTACATGGAAGGTTTAAATAATGATTAAAGAATACATTAATTAGTATAATTTAGGATTTTAAAGAAATCGGAGAACTAGATGATAGAACCTCTAAAATGTATAAATACGTTGTAAATTTCTCTTTCATGTAATCTTTAGTTTATTAGTTTTAATTAACTCAAAGTCTTTTAGTAAACTCAAATATTATTTATTATAAATAAATCTTGACCTTGACCTTGTCCTTGTCCTTGTTAACTTCGAACATTATATTTTCGTAATGATAATAAATCTATCCCTAACGACGAATTTATACTAATCCCGTGCATAATTATTTTCTCTTATTTTATATTTGTCTCTATTAATTTTATTAATTATTTCTTTTCTTTTCTTTTAGTGCTTTTAGTGAGAGACGTGCCGGATCAGGCAGATAACAAAGAACTGCTGAGAAAACGTTACCGGAAGGGAAGTAAGGAAACTTGCCCTGTAAATAATTAAATAGCTTGAGCACTATAGTAAAAGATAGTTTTGAGAGTAAAGCATAAATATACATTCGCGGAAATTGTTATTATGATTTAGTATAAATAAATGGGAAAATTGTATCGGCATGTCATCATAAATAAAAATCAAGAGATTTGTGTGAGACGCGGAATTTTGATCTCACACTATGGATTTGTTTGTTGAGATTTCATATATGGATGTTTCAAATGCTAAAAGGCAAAATTAAATATTTAAGTATTAGTTTATGCACATAATATAATTAGAAATATATTTATATTGCAAATGATAAAAATGCCTAATTCATAAATATTTGCATATTATATTACTTAAAAAATAATAATTAACTTGTAGAAAATTTAAATAATAAAAAATGTTGAAATATTTAATATGAATCTAAAAACTATTTTCAGTGATAATTGTAATTGCCAATTTTGAACCCTGAAATCTCTAAAGAGACATAATATTAATATTCACTTTGTCTGGTTTTGTTGCAGTATGCACCATGTCCAAATTTTGGTCAAAATTAAACATACTAGGAAATTTTAGACTATAATTTTAAATAAAGTTAATGTTAATAATAGGGATGTTAATCAGTCCTTTGGGACTGGGTCCCAAAAAGTCCGGGACTGAACTGTTTCAGGTTCGGTCCTACCATTTGGGACTTAAAGTCCCTATAAGTCCGCGTGTAGCATAAATATTTAAAAAAAATTCACATGATATATATATTTTTTCAAAATGTCATCATCAATTGAAAATAGCTTTGAAATCAATGGTGGATTTGATCTTTACAAACCAAATTGAAGCACAACAACAATCACAACCTTTTGTTTTTATTAATGGCAATGATGAAAATATTGATGATATATTGTATTCAGAAAAATATAATTTATCTTTAGAAGTCACATCAATAAATTCAACATCAACATGTAGTTATTTTAAAAGATAATTTCAAAATCACTATAATCAATCAACTTCAAACAATGAATTTATCAAAAAATATTTAGAAATGCCAGAAGAAGTAAAATTGCCTGGATTGGTATTCTACAAGATTTAAAGGTCCTAAGTATACTGTTTTGTCACATATGGCTCATGATTTTTTCTCAATACAATCAACTAGTGTGTCAAGTGAGTCAGCTTTTAGCATAGCTAAACACATACTAAGTCCAGTTTGTAATAGATTGGATCCTGAAAAGGCACAAGCAAGTTTTTGCCTTAAAAGTTGGATTGAAGCAAAGATTGTTTCAATATAAAATATGTTAAATATATTTTAAATTTTTTTTAAATTTTTTTTAATATAATTTTTTTAATATAATTTTTTTAATATAATTTTTTTACATTTACAAACATTTATAATAATATATATAAAACTATATATAAAATATATAAATAAAAATAAAGATATATAATAAAAATATATAATAAATACACTGTTTGAAAAAAGGTTGAGGACTTTTTGGGGCTTTTTCTAGGACTTTAAGCCCCAGTACCGGACCGGACTGATTAACATCTTATTAATTTAAATTAAAAAATTCTTGTTCAACGGATTTTATATTTAAAATCGCGTTTCAACGGACAAAGGATTTTTTGGTAGGATTTTAGTAATAATAATAAGTACTAATCGGATTCACGTGATATAGATTTTATTAAAAAAAAACATTACTATGTTAAGATTAATTCATTGCTAAATAATAATATAAACAAATTGAATGATTCTCAAAAATATCAATATGATTTTACATGAATGATTCTCACATTACTAAAATAATAATATTAATCAAAATTTTCCATAATAATTTTACACGAATAATTAAACACACATTATCATTGATCAAAATTTTCCATATTTCCAATAATAATATTAATCAAATTTTCCGTATTTCTAAATAATGATTTTAC